GAATTTGTTTACAGGAAAAATTTGAAGAAGCAGGCTAGAGAAGGCCTACAATGTTGTGAACAGTGGTTAATGTGCAATGCTGGTCAGAGTCAGGAGAACACAATGCTGATAGCAATGCAGAGAGTAAAGGTCAGGCTCAGGTGGTTTCAGCTGGGAACAAGCACTTCATTGGCAGTTGGACCAGAGGTCATGTATATTAAACTCTGGCAGAAAATTTGTCTACATTTCCCCCATGTCGGGAGATTTTTCAGGAAAAGTGGGAGGTGAGGGATACTGATTTATCTGGCAGAGGACATTTCAAGGCAGCTCAACATTCAGCTAGTGGCATGGGTCCTTTTGGTTGCTTTCAGCCAGGTTTGCAATGAGAATAAGGAACAAAAAGGCCCATTTGAAAAGTCTGGAGTTTTGTCTGAAAGGAAGTGCTACACAGTTGTGAAAAAGTATGGTTATTAAAAAGATAAGCATTCAAAAGAAGCCAAGTATTTTCCATCAGGGCAATAAGAAAGATATTTTGAGAGCATCTTAGGAATCAGCAAGTCCAAACACTTCATAGGCTCCTAAGTGTGAAACTGTAAAGCTTTAATCTGAGAAGAAAGGCCCTGAGCCCCCTGCTTGAGATGTGTCGCCTAGGAAACTGATTACTCAAAATTTATTTCACAGTGCTCATCCATTCAGACATGAAGAGGCCTCTGCAGCTGTGATCCAAGAGGCTCTGACTATTTTTCCAGCTGGTGGCAGACCTTGATACAGTCCATGTGGTGCTGGTTTTTCCAGCATACAAAATAAAAGTTGTGGGGTCAAGTAGGGCTTCAGATTTCAGAAGGACTGAGAGGTCAGGGACTGTGACACTAAGACAGTAGCAAATGAAGCCAAAAGTGCAGTGGAGACCCAAAGAAGTAGGAGAATCCAAGAATATGGAATGTCTGCTGAAGATCACAGGCAGTGAGCAGAAGCACCCCATGTGAGAAGCCACAAGGACTACAACCAACAACGCTGTAGGTGTGGACTTGGCCATACCTTTTAGAACTCATATCTTGCACAATTTTCTCTGGTTGTTAGATATGGAGTTACAGGATTTAATGTTTGCTTTGCTGTGTTCTGATCTTCCTTTGGTTCTATTTCTTTCTATCCTGCTTCCCCACTGCATGTTGGAAGTGTTTAATATTCTTTTTTGATTTTATAGGGGATCATAGCTAAGACTTTGCCTGAGTCTCAAAGTAGATGTTGGGCTTATATTTTTCAGCAACTCTGGGACCATTAAAATTCTGGTGACTCTTAAGAGATGGACTAAATGTATTTTGCATAAGGAGATGTGTATATTTTGGTGGATGGGGTGAAATGTTATGAGTATGTGGTTAGGAGATGTGTCCTGGTTGAAGGCAGGTCATCAAGGGCATGACCTAAAAGGGTATATCTTACTCTCTGGCTCCTTCTGTTTCTCTGCTTTCTGGTTGTCATGATGTGAGCAGCATTCTTCTGCCTGGTTCTCCCACCATGCCATTTCTGCCAAGGACTTACACATTTAAAAATTGTGGGTCAAAATAAACTTTTCCTCTTCTAAGTTGTGACTGTTGGGTACTGTATGCAACAATAGGCAAGAGACTAAAACAGGAACCTGGGAACAAGACAAGCTCCTAAAGTAGAGGAGAGTCCTGAGGGAAAAGGGGGCCCTGAGAGAACCTTGAGAAAAGGTGTAAAAAATATGTTCAAATATTTGGCAAAAAAAGTCAAATCTATTTCAGAGCTCTCTGACCTGGTGCAGGGAGCTAGATCATGGGAGGCAATAAGTGAAAGAGCTGAAGGTATGCATGGGAGCCTCTGTTTAGCCAGGATCTTCAATACAGGACAGGAAAAAATGTCTACACATGTCCTGGCTTTCAAGGCAACACTACTCAAAAGCCAATGCTTTCTGTTTATTTCATACCTATTAGTCTCCTTTTCATTCAGTGCACTTTTCTCCCTTCATTGATGAAAATATAACCAAAAAAAGTCATGGACACTGTCATATGGAATGCCTTTCTACACTTGATTAACTTTTTCTGCTGGCAATTCTTAAAGGAAAGAAGATGGAAAAGCAAACCTAGGGCATCCCAAGTGCCTCCCTGTTGCTAAAGGGCTGAGAACACAACAGGAGCTTACTAAAAGCAGCTTGTATGTTTCTGGGTAGAGGCTGTATGAGTGTGAATTATATCCATCTGCACCCAGGTGTCTGCTTCTTCATGTATAACAATCAACAAGGATTGGGTAGTGCATAAGTAGGCTGAGCACAGGCGTCATTGAGTGATTGTGCCACACAAGCCATGCAGGCATGTGGCTAGCCACCACAGCACTGCCATCACCATGGGTCAGCAGCAAAAGTACCATTTCCTCCTTTTTGTGTTCTGACACTTCCTGTGGCTGCTCTGAAACTTAACGGCTACTCATAGTTTAGTCCATAGAGGGGAGTCAGCTTGGAGTCTTTTACATTCCCAGGGCCCACTTGTCCTTTATTTGCATGGACATTTCTTTCACAATCTAATGGCAGTTCTCTACTGATCCTGTGGGAGCATCACATTATGAAGATTTGCTGAAACAGGCTGCCTTATCCCAGACTGGTTCCCAAAGTCTGTGTGGCCTCCTCTCTTTCATTAGTAGGAATCCTCTTCCACTGACTCCTCTTTTTCTGAGAGTTCTGCTGAGATCTCTACACCAGAGGGCTCTGGTGGTTCCTTGGCTTTATTATCCATGCAGAGGATGTCCAGGAAGGGCCTTCACCCAACCTCCACAGACCTCTTAAAGGGCTCACCAAAGCTGCTTCCTCCTTGCCAGCAGGCCCTGACCCCTTTGCTGCAACCTCTGCAGCCCTTCTGCCTGAGGCTTAGAATTCAGGCATTCAGATCTTGTGCTCCCAGGACACTAGCTGCTATGATTGTCAAGCACATTTCTTCCTAGGGATGGGAGAAATCAGCCTTGCCGCATGTTCCCTGTTACCCTCCCAATCTTCTTTTACCCCCAAGGTGACTGGAAGAGATGGAGCCAGTGATGGAGTGGGCCTTGCTCAGGTTCCATATTGCAGTGGCTAAAAGGTGGTGCTCTCACTATAGCTACAGACTGAGCTGATGTGGTAGATTGACAACTGGTGGTCAACTTGTAACATTCAGCTGAACTGAATCATTGTGGTGCTGAGGGTGGGTGGCCCACCTAAGAATTGTTGCCAAACAACACAAAAAGGAGAACAAGAGAGGAAAAAGTATTGTTGTTGGCTCTCCTTGTGCTGTTGGTCCTGTTGGAGGAGCTTGTTAGAATTTCTTTCCTGATCTGAATTTGGCTGTGCTCATCATCAGAAGAGTTCAGGACCTTGTTGATGCTGAGAATGGTTGTAGTTCACTTTGGGGAAGGTCTGGTCCTTACTTTGAGCATCACTTCCTGCCTCCAGGGGTGAAGCTAGTGTGCTGCTCAATTTCCTGGAGAAGCTTGTCATGCTGGCTTCCTGCTATGAACTTGGCTGTTCTCATCGCTGCTGAAGATGGCTATGGTACTTTTCAGGAGTTCTTCCTGGCTCCAATGCAGATTCCTCAGCCTCTGGCACAGATCTTTCATTCTGCTGCCATAGACTTTCTAACTTCTATCACTGATCTTTGAGCTTTCCCAGTGTAGATCTGTGAAACAGATTTGCATGAGACACTGTTATGGGCTCTAGGTCTTCAGCTGGACTCATGCAGGACACTGCTAGGACAGCTGGACTCATGCAGGACATCTAGGATCCAGGGTCCTAGATGGATTCTTTGGGTCTTCATGTGTGGACAGATTTCCTGCACTTTTTTTTTTTTTGTATTTTGACTCTTTGGGTGACATTTATAAAATACTTCTATAAATTATGTGTCCTGTATTAAGTTGTTTTCCTTGGTGACCCTGACTACAAAATTGATACCAGAGGTGGGGTGTGCCATATAATCAACTATCAGAGGAAAAGAACGCTCGAGCCTGGCTTATGGATGGTTCTGCACATTATGCAGGAACATAATTGGAAAACTGATGACAAAGATATTCAGGAAAGAGGTATGTGGATAGGCCTCTCCATATGGGCAAAAGATATAAAAACATTTGTTTCCCATGTAAACCCTCAGCAAAAGATATCAGCAGAAAAGGTCTTTAATAATCAAGTGGACAAGATGATGCTTTCTTTGGATAGTGGCCATCTCCGTTTTCAGCTATCCCTGTCATTGCCCAATGGGCCTATGAACAGACTGGCCATGGTCACAGGGATGAAGGATATGCATGGGCTCAGCAACACAGACTTCCACTCACCAAAGCTGATCTGACTATGGCCATCACTAAATGCCTAATGTGCCAACAGCAGAGACTAACACTGAGCCTCTGATATGGCACCATTCCCTTGGGTGGAACACCTGTGACCTGGTGGGAGGTTGATTATATTGGACCACTTTCATCATGGGACTGTGCTTTGTCCTCAGTGACATAGACATTTATTTTGCATATGAATCTGCCTTCACTGCACATAATGCTTCTGCCTAAACTACAGAATGCCTTATCTACCATCATGGAATTCCACATAGCACTGCCTCTGACCAAGGAACACATTTTACAGTCAAAGGAGTGAGGCAATGTGCTCATGCTCATGGCATTTACTGATCTTACTATATTCCTCCATGGTAAGTGGCTAGATTGACAAACCAGAAGTAGCTGGGCTGACATAAAGGTAGAATGGTCTTCTGAAGACACAGTTACAGCACCAGCTGGGTGGCAATGGATTTAAGGGGTAGGGTAAGGTACTTCAAAGACTGTATCTGCTTTGAGTCAGCATCAGCTATATGGACTATGTAGCCAGGATTCAGGAGTCCAGGAATCAAGGGGTTGAAGTAGGGATGGTACCATTCACCATTACCCCAAGTGATCCTGTAACAAAATATTTGCTTTCTGTCCCCATGACCTTATGTTCTGCTGGCTTAGAAGTTGTTGTAGTCAGGGGTTGTACACAGAGAACAACTAGGATTAGGACATGGAGTTTATAATATTTTTATAATGGTCACCAGAAGTTAACACGGGGAAATGCAGGAAATCTATCTGCAACACCAAAGACATAGATTATTTAGTCAAGAGCCTAAACCCCACGGCAATGTCCCACATGAGTCTAGATAAAAACCCAGAGCTCAGGACAATGCCTCCACGAGTCCAACTGGAAGTCCAGAGCCCACAAGAAGGACTCACGCCAGTTTCTTTTATGGATCTGTGCCAGGAAGACCCAAAGGTCAGTGGTGGAAGCCAGAAAGTCTATGCCAGCAGGATAAAGGGTCTGTGCTAGTGGGATGAGGGTTCTACGCTGGAGCCGAGAAGTCACACTCACAACAAGGAGCAGGGCTAGCCTGAAAGGCACCACAGCTGTCCTCAGCGACACGGAGGCCCTGAGCTCCTCCTTCGACAAGCACAGTCAGGTACATGCCAGGAAGCAGCGTGACGAGTTCATCCTGGAGACCAAGCAGCACATGTCTTCCCCTCCGGAGCCAGGAAGCAATGCTCAATGTGAAGACCAAAGCTTCTCCAGGAGAACCAACAGCTCTCTTTGTCTTAAAACTTGAGGTTCAGAGTAAATAAATTACATGGTTGCATGCATATTTTGCACCACTGTAGAAGATAAATTGACCTAAATAGTATGCAACTTCATTTTCTTTTTTTTTTTTTTTTTTGTCTTTTTCGTTTTTATCGGTACCAGGGATCGAACTCAGCAACTTCATTTTCAATTGCAACAGGGCTAAACAGATCATCATGTTTATGTTGACACAGCAGAGACAAGATTCACTTGTTTTGTTTTCTAGAAGACATGTTTTTCTTTTTGGAATTAGAATGATACACAAAACTAGTGAATACTGATTTTCCTACCATCTCAATAATGTTCCTATTCCTCTGTACTTTTAGTGTCAGGTGAACGGATATAGAAGAATCCACAGACATAGTCATAGGAATTTCTGTGAAATCAAGTAAAGGGTCCGTAAATTAGAATTCCCTGCTCCTAAAACAGCAGTTATTCACAGGGCATTTTAAAGATGTAATGGTTCATACTTACAAGATACATGTTACATGTTCAGAATTAAGATTATGAGTCTGTCAATATTTATTTTCATATTGGCAAACACATATCGAAAAGGTTCTTTAAATGGTAGGTTTCACTTTGTACATTGACAGCTCATGGCCGGTGAGGCCACTGAAGTTTGTGGAGGAAGAAAATAGGCATCAGTGTCACTGAAGGGAGACAGACTAGGACCAGCATCCTTGTGGCAGTAATTCCTCACTCATTGGAAAAGGGTTAGAGGAGGAAGAGGCAGGATGGGTAGCATACTGCAGCAGATGACATCATCTCCTCCAAGGCTGCCAAAACATGGAACAGTAATAATGCTCTACAGCATTCTTCTCAGTAGCCTTTCCTCTGAGTATCACATTTGGTAGAGGCAGGCGTCCTGTCTTCATGACATGAACCTGCTGATAACATGTACTTTATTTGCCATTAACTGATTTTCTAGGACCTGTCCTGGTGTCAAGGCCTACGTGTGACCAATCACCAATTCTAGCTAAGCTGGGCGGTATGACTTGGTCATGGTCACAAAAGGACCCATCTTCAGAACCATTTGTTTTCAAAAGGTTCTACATAGTGTAAGTGACTTCTGTTGGAGACCTGGCAGCAATGACACCAGGATATCCTGTCTTCTCCTTTCATACACAGGCTCTGAGTTTTAGCTGGCTGGGCTCAGATGGATTCAGCAGTTGTAAAAGTGCCGTGGCTACACCTTTGAGTCTGCTCAGCATTCATGCCTCAAGCTATTTCTGTAGGACACAGCTGATCACCAGTCTTCACAGGCAGATGAGTGCAGATTGATTATAAGATCAAATCTAAGACCTGTCCTCACTTTTTGACTGTGCATGGAGCAAAGTGCAATGGTCCAAAGATTCCATCCCTGACTCAGTTCAGAGAGGTGGAAGATGTCATTCCGGATTTACTTCTGAGGGCAAGTGATGCCATTCATACAAGAATCCAAAAAAAAGTATTATTTGCACCAACAGAAAAAGCCCAGACTAAATTTATATGGAACCTCAAGGGTTCTTGAATAGCAAAACAGTCTTACAAAAGAACAAGTTGGAGGCCAGAGATTTAGCTAGTGGCATAAGTGCCTGCCTGGCAAGCATAAGGTAATGAGTTTGATCCCCAGTACCACACACACATACGAAAAAAAAAAAAAAAAAAGGAAGAAGTTGGAGGGGTTACATGTCTTAATTTCAGAAGAGCCCTAATATATACTGTTAATTAATTTCTGACAAAAGGACATATACTGGGAACAGTCTCTTTAACCCATGGTGCTGGAAAGCTGGATGCCTACATACAAAGAAAAAGATAGCCCTTTAAGTACATCATATACAAAAGTAAAGTCAAAATGAGTCAAACTAAGAGTTAAATGTAAGAGTTAAAGCTCTAAGGAGAAAAGACAAGGTAAAATATTTACAATATTGAGTTTGTGGTGATTTCTTAGATACTAGAAACACAGGCAAAAACGGAGAAAATAGAGAAGTTGAAATTCATAGAAATTTAAAAATTCAGCATATCAAAGGAATAAAAATGCAAGCCTCAGAAATGGGATAACTATTTCCAAATCATTTATCTGATGAAGAATTAAAAACTAGAATATATAAAAAACATATACAATAATACTAAAAGCCAAACAACCTAATTCACAAATAGGCAATGACTGGAACATACATTTCTCCCCATTTCTCCAAAAACACAGATCACCAACAGCACATAAAAAGATGCCCAACATCATTAGTCATTAGGGAAACAAAAATGAAAACTATCAAGGGATACGACCTCATACCTGTCAGGATGGCTATTAGCAAGAAAATGGAAAATCATAAGTGCTAGGCAGGGTGCGGGAGACTAACACCCTCATCCACTGATAATGAGAATGTCCATCATGGGAAAACAACCTCGAAGTTTCTCCAAAAGTTAAACATAGTTACCATCCGATAAGCAACTGTGCTCCTCAGAAGAATGCACACAAATGCATACATGTTCCTACAACTGTTCATGTTAGGCAAAACGGAAGACAATCCAAGTCCAGCAATAGACGGACAGACACATAAAACATGCTTCACATGTGCAATGAGGAACCGTCTTCAGCCACAGAAAGGAATGAATGGTGATGAGGACTGCTGGTCTAGCAAAGGGAATTAATGCCACCAAATATCCAACAGTACATTTAAAAATGGGGGTAAATGCTGTGTAGCATATACTTTATTACCATAAAGTTACTTTTTTCATGGATTGAGTCAATGACCTAAAACATTCTAATGAACTGATAAGTTTTAGTTAGGCATACTAAAAATAGGCAAAGCTAAAATAGGAAAGCGAAAATGGGAAAAACAGGCTTTTGACATTATTTTCAAGGTAGAGGAGATAATAAAATACATTCAGTTATAATCAAATTAATTTAACTTGAGGTTTTTAATACTCATAAGGAATCCTTAAGATTTTCAGACTCAAAGTGATTTAAAACTTGATTAAAAACAAGTAACAACTAAAAAAACCAACAACTTTAATTATATAACCTATTGTTATCATTTATGTCCAGACTTTCCCCTAAAATCTTATGTGCTAGTGCATAGGCGGGACTTTTGGGAGGTGACTGGATGACGGAGGCTTACCACTGACTTGCTCTCAGGAAGTGAAGCCTGGTAGGAAAAGGTGGGTAATTGAGAGCACGACTCAATAGAGTTTATCTCATTCCCGTTCCTCCTTTGTCTCTTCGTTTCCTGGCTGTCATGAGGTGAACAGCTACTCCTCTGCCAAGCCCTCTGCCATTCTGTTTCTTTGTTAGAGTCAGCTGACGATGGACTGACATATGAACTAAAATAAATACCTCCTTTAAGTTTTAGGTGTTATGCATTTTGAAAAAAATGACTAAAACAACTATATAGTTTAATACTGTGTCCCTTTTCAGTGTTTTACAGGAATTAGAAAACCAATCAAGTTTTATGTAGTAATTCAAGACATGCAATTGCAAATAAGTGAAATTTTCAATTTTATCCCATTTCTCATTTACAGTCTCAGATGTTTAAAGTCTCATAATCTTACCCATTATGTACAAACACAGGAATAAGTTATATGGCAGAAGTGTCTTCAAAGTCTCCAGGATTAGAGTTACAAAGAAAATATTAGGAATTTAATCTTCTTTGTATTTAAGAATGAACCCTCAGTCAACTTTGTCATTTACATTTTCTTGAAAATATTAATTCTTCTTAAAAAGACATACTGGTTTTATTCACTGTTTTTCTCAGGTAGGACATGTGTAATCCAGTAGTTAAAGAAGGCAGAGATTACTCTGGCGTAGTCTGGAAAGCAAAAAATAAAAACAATGACAAAAAATAAGTCAGAAAGTACTATTTTGTAGATATTAGTCTTTGGGCTCAAAGTAAACCCTGAAATATGGCATATGATCAACAAACACAGCGAATGTTTACATTAAATGTATTTTAAAAGACATGTTGCCATTAAAGTCCCTTAAAATACTCCACTGATTTCAAATACACTTCTCCCATTATTCTTGCCACTTTCTGAAGTAGATCTGCATGCACCCTTTTGCAAGTATCTTCGGTTGTACTGTCCTGGCTGTCCCAATGTCCTAAATTGACTCAAAATGTTAATCTTCCAGTCATTCTGACCTTGGAGAGGACCCAGAAGTCACATGGTGCCAGATCTGATAAATAAGGTGGATGAGGTTACACAGTTATGTTTTTACACAATGCAATCTTAGTATAAAAATGATGTCAATAGTCATACAACACAACTTGTTAACCATTCATCACATTACAAATATGACAAAATAGTAGGGCAATTCAGAATATCTGTAGTTTATCTGGGCCCTGAAGTTCTATCGGGCCTGAACATTATAAAATCACAGGTCAAAACTGCAGATTTCAAATCTGATCTGAAAGAAAGCTTTCAGATTGAAATTAAGGGGAAATAAAATTTCATGTCAAAGGCAGACAATTGGAAGATGGTTAGACTCTAAGTGAGATGTGACAGGTTAAACAGCATTTGGCTTTCATGAGGCCACTGCTGCACCAGGACAAGAGCCAGACATCACCCATCAGCCCTCCCATGACCTCCTGGAGAAGCACGGTAGCCATGAATTCAGTTCTCCTCAAATATAAGCTTTACAACAGGGGAAAACTCTAGGATCTAGTTCATAAAGCACCTGTTGTTTCTCTAGTCGTTAGTCATAGAGTACACACCAAGCCTATGAGCAGAGGCAAGGGAAGATACCTCCCAGTCCAGTCATATGTCAGCCTGGCCACGGAGTTGGTTCACTACTCTGATACAGATGTTCCACATCTAAACCAGGTCAGATCCAGAGATGGGGTGCTATGGAGAGAGAGGTCTCACCTTCCACCCATTCCACAGAAGGCACTTCAAGATCCTTCCAAGACCAGTGCTCTTCTGCCCAGAGCAGGTGCCTGACATCTGCGAGTCTCCTCTCCTCACAGATGGGATAATTTCTACAGCACCTCTCAGTGCCTGCATGTGAGAGCAATGCATCAAGTGACAGTTCTGGCCTGTAGCACGCTCACTGGTGACTCAAGGAAACAGGAGAATGTGAGACTTATACTGTTCCTGAGCTCAGCATGATCCCAGCACTTGTGAAGATGTCTACATCCTACTCAAAGGAAGTATCTATGATTTAGTAAAAATATTCCTGGGCCAGTGAAGAAAAAAATGAGACAAGCAGAAAATACTTTGTACCTAATTTTAAGTGCTAGTCCTATAAAGACGAGAGATAGAACTACCAGGTAGTTTCCAAAGAGTTATGTAGGCTAAATAGTCAATAGATAGATCCAGGGCTTGAACACAAAGCTTCCTCATTTATTAGATTTTATTTGACAAAGTAGCTTGACACAGAAAAGCTTTAAGACCAACTCTATTGTATGCTGAAAGGGAACTGACTTTACAGAAGTCAGGTTCATATGTAAGTTTCCATCTGCTCTGGTCTTGATATAGAAGCCCAGAGACCTACTGACTGCAGTGAGCCTGCCAGGAGCTTCCCACTTCTCTGAATAAAAGCCCACAGGGTGCCATGGCTCTTGGAGCACCTCCATAGTATTGTCTTCTGCTGTTGACTCATGGGTCATTGCTGTGTCAGAAAGGTCACACTTGGCTGCAAGAACACCTTGCACCTGCTCCTCACTCTTTTCCTAGCCTCATACTCACAAGACCTCTTAAATATTTCACTTGCTCTCTGGCTCATTTTGTCTCTACACTCGCTTCTGTGGGTAGAGCCTTCATCTATCTGCCTCCATGTTGTATGCTAGCATCCCAGATGAGTGAGAGACACCCCTCTCCTCCATATACATGCAATAATTCCCCTGCACATGCAACCCATGATAACCTCCCTGCTTACAAATCAAATGCTCACTGTCTCTACTGTTTACTTATTTGCTCTCCCAGTGCACACCCACTGTTTCACTGTTTCTTGACTTAGTTTTATCTTTTAGAATGTGAATGTTGGCCCTTCACAGCACAATGAAGTCTCTGAATATAGAGGCCTGTGTCATATATCCAAGAGCTTCTTACAGCCAGCAGCAGCTCCTTCTCATTCATTCACTCAAGTGAAACTTGCCCAGTACTTCCTGTGGGACAGTACATACTCTGCCGGCAGCGGCTGCAGGATTCTATGTGTCCCCACACATGGCACTACATGGCAAGCACGCATTTGGCCCTAGCATACCATAACTGGGAATCCAACAAATACTGGGGAAGTAATCATTAGAAGCGTTACCATGATAACTTACTCTTTCAAAACATGACCAGCACGTGTGAGGTGGTGTGACGAGTGCACGTGTGGTACTCACCGAGAGGCATTGTGCAGTGCTCCGGGAGCAGCTCCAGGGCCCGCTGCAGTCTTGTCGTGTCATGCAGATGTAGCAGTGTTTTCATATGGTCCACAATGAGCACATCCGAGGGAGGCATGCAGTGAGACTCAAGACAGTGGAGCAGCTCTTCAGCAGTTTCCACTTGGATAGCCGAATCCGTGTCTTTGGAGACACCTAACAGAAGTCAGCATCACTTAGAAATGCAGTTTTGGTTTCACTTTTTTAAGCTAAACATAGATTTTCATTTCCTAGAGAAGACTCAGACATTCATTCCACTTAGAACAAGACAACTGAGAGAGAACCAGAGACCTCTGACAAGCAAACGTGACAGCAGAATGCCACTGTGTGAACAATGGAAACTCAGTATATGCCTTTAAGGTTTTTTAATTTTAGGTCTGTCATTTAAAACCCCTTCCAAGTATGACATATGACTCAGAGTCATGGACAGCAGCAGGATAAATCTGACAATGACACATTTGCTACATTCATGTCATGTATCTTTCAAAAACAAAGCAAGACTGCTGAGGCATTTAGGACAAAAAAAGGAAAGCCAGGCAAGCAAGCTCCTAGATTCTCCTTTCTCTACTGAAAGTCTAGGTACAGTACTGGCCTTATAAGATAGGTATTATTTCTTTGACTACTTTTAAGATGCTTCTCCACAGTTTAATAACTAGAGTATGCTTAAGTGTGGTAGTGTTCATTTTAAGCTGATTTAGTTCACAAAGCCTTTGAAAGCTGAGACTGTCCTCCATCATTCACAACCCTTTCTCTTATCATCTCTTCAGGAACAGCCCCTGCTCGGCCCCTGGTCCTGCACCTTGGACTCCAGTCCCGCAGGTGGCAGAACTGCTCGCTGTCTCTACTGGGACAGGCTCTTTTCTTCGTTTTTCGTTTTCTTTCCACCCTTCATCTTGGGAACTTTCTTTGATCTGTTTTCTCAGTTGTTAATTCTCTTTTATGTTGAATCTAATATGCTGTTTAAGCTTATGTTCTAAGTTTCAGTTATGTAATTTTCAGATCTAGAAATTCCATTTAATGTCTTAAATGTTATTCATAAGAGCACTGTCAAACATCTTGCTGACACGAGAATCCCTGGCTGTCTGTCCTAAATAGCATTGAAATAGGGAAAGTGGTAGTTTGGAGTGTCCTGGGCTTCAACCATGCCAGCTCCTGGTGACTATTTGCTTTCTTTGGTTGGTTGCTAATATAGAGTTATATAATTGTGCATACTCATCCATGAGGATATATCTATTCATATTTGGATCATATCCTATATCAATACGAATAGTTACTCAAAAATGCTCACTGAGCCCAAACCCATGTTTACCAAGGAAACATAGCATAAGCTCTTTGGTGGAAACAAACTAATATTCTGATTTAACCTCAGAACTCATTATTTACTTTGAATATATTATATGCTTTATATAGTAAATCTTTAAATATTTTACTATACTTGGTTATTTTTCAAAATATTAAGTGGATGCCATTATACAAAGGAAAACTAGAACAAAACCTACCATCACAGAAATACATTTCTTGGGTTGACTTCAGAAAGTTCAGGATGCCATCAACCTTCCTGTCAGTGATCTCCATGTCTTCCTGGGTGGGGGCTGTGTCATCCTTTGAGCTGGCATCCCCTGTGGCCTCCTCCATGGCCTTGGGGACTCTATTTCTAGCAGCCCTGGGCATATCTTCCTGGTCACTGCCACTCTCCTTAGGCTGGTATGTAAAGCTGGCACTGGAGGCCTTGGTCCCTAAGCCAGCGGCTCTTTTCTTTCTAATTTGCTGTTTCTTTTTCAGCTTCCTTTTCTTGTTTTTGCTTATTGTGAGGCCATCTGTATGCTGCGACTGTAATTTTGCTTGTAAAAGGCTCTGTTGCTCTGATTCTGCTTGTTTTACATGAACATTATTGGAATTTTTAATTTTTTTCTTCAGTTTACGCTTTCTAATTTTTTTCTTTCGTTGATCATGAGGATCTTGATCTGTCAAAAAAATTAAAATGCAACAATTTTTAGTATAATGGGACCATAACAAACACATTAGGATAAATAAATTTTCCTCAGGACTTGACAGCTATATGTAAAAGGAATCTAAACTATTTACATCAGTGATTTTCAACTTTCTTTCACAGTAATTACAGTACCAAGGATGCTGGGATGAACCATAACATAAATTAGCAACGTATCTTTTTTTTCTCCAAAAAGATGTGTGTACACAGAGTTGATACAATTCTGATATCTAGTGTATTTTTAAGAGCATGAGCTGCTATGGAGGACGTAAAATTTCATCCTATGGCCCTGGAGTAAACCCATGAATTCTTACATTGCTTACATTCATTTTAGAACCTTTTAGGAGTTTCTTGTAAGGATAAAATATAAATAATGAGGCCTTGCCCATCTGAACAACAGGTCACATTTTGAAATGAAGACTGAGTCTGGGCTCTGGGTTAGGGGAAGTTGGTACATAAATGAAACAGGTCAGCGGTGTGTTGGTAAATGGTTAATGGACAGCTAATTGGGTAGAAAAGTCCTGAGTTGTACCTCTTGTCAATTTCCCTGGTGTAAACACTCCTAGTACAGCGGACTTCTAACTGCCACTGTCTGCCACTGACTGGCAGGAGATCTCACAGGTGAGCCTTCTGTGCTGGAGGGAGTTGCACAGCACAGAGAGGTGGACAGGGGAGAGAGCAGGGAGGAAACAAAATCAGTGGCTAGTAGTGCTGATAGAGAGCAGAAATGCCCTGTGCATCAGTCCTACGATGTGATAAGGAAGGTCTCCAATAAGTAATGGACATTGGGCATACCTGATTACTATACTTGGTTATTTTTCAAAATATTAAGTGGGTGCCATTATACAAAGGAAAACAAAGCACGAGCACTTGAAAGTGCATGTAGAGATTGAGAAAAAATGTGAAATCCCACGCTGCACGTAGCCAGGCCTGCACACCCTTGAAGGTTACCAAGCATAGAGACCATATCCACACATGGTCCTTCTGTCACCATGGCTCACATCTCTCCAGGCCCTGCCTGGGTAGATCTACATCTGCAAAACTGGCTGCCATGTCTCACTGTGATTGGTTATCAGACAATTCACATTTTTAGGAAATTCTTGTTCAGTTTTCCTCAATTGTACAAGACCCTATCACAGATTCTTAAGAGCAATGAAGATTAAGTAATGTATATGAAACTTGTGAAATACTCTATAAAGACCAGATGTTATTATACAGAATAAAAAAAAAAACCTCTTTTCCTGAAACTTCTATTCAAGGGCTTTAATCTGCCTGTGAAATCAGAAAGTGCCTAATCTGTCTTCCATAGTTAGTTCTTCAAAAACAGTTTCACATCCCACTTAAGTTTTCTTAATAACCTCAATAGTGCTGTCCATGGAGTCCAGGGTTCTTCCCTTGCCTGTACACAATGTGTCTGTGCATGCAGTCCAACTCCCATTGAGTGTGAAAACACACAGAATAGTCTCTGCTCTAACCGTCATCAGATCTTATCTCTCTTATATGACATAAACCCCTGAATCTCCTCCCCAGGCTTTGTGCCATTGTCAGATTAGCTACTGTGTTTTGGGAATGGTGAACAGTTTCACTGCTATTTTTGAATGAGAGTTCTCAGTTTTCTCCTGATACACTTAGTAACTGTATCTATGAAATCTACTGCTACCTCAAACTTGGCATAAAGCCAAAACTAATCCTCACAAAATCATGACATAGATTATGGTCTAGCCCATAATTAGTATGTTTTATCACTTTCCTAAATCCCTGCTAGATTTTTGAATACTGTAATTTTCCATTTCATTTGTAAGCATGACTCAATAACCGGGTCCCGCTAAGGTCAGACCAATGCTGATTCCAAATCTTTCTGAACAGCTGATTCTTGAACAAGTCTATAAAATATTCATGCTCAAGACATGGCCACTTCTGAGAAAAATACAATTTATCAAATGATTCCAAGAAGAAACAGAAAATCTTAGTAGTCTTATACCCACTTGAAAACTGAATAACAATTATTTTCCGGTCCAGTTTAACAAGAGAAAAACATTATCCTCACTGATGTCTTTTTATTTTTTAATGAATAAAAAGGTAGTAAAAACAGTTCTAAAACAAAGCATTTATCTACTTTTTTTTTTTTTTTGAGGCAGATTTATTTTACATTGATGGGCACTGATCAGGATCATTCCCAAAATATCAGGACCTGATCTCTGGTGGTCTAGCACTTTTATGGGATAAGCAAGTAGGAAGTACAGAGGCAGAATAGCTTGTTAATTGGGGATTGGTTGTTTATAATATGAATCACAGTGACCAGCTGTTTCTAAGAAGCAAAAGTAACAGAAACTGGAACTGGAACTATTTTCTGGGCAACTAACAAACTGAGGGGCACTGGCCGTGGGGAGTAGGGTATTCTTTGCTGTACTCGCAATACATTATGTAGTACTGGAGGCAGGACTAGTCTGGCTTGGAGCTGGCACTTGCACTACAGATAGCTCTAGTGTTATAGCTAGTTTTAGAGCTGGTGCTGGGACTGGATGTACTGCAGTTTGAAACCAGTGTTAGCTCCAATGTGAGCCTGTAGTAAAGCTGCAAATACTAGACTTGGATATCAATAGGGACCTGGTAGTGCAGTTGAGCTGGAGCTGGCCTCATCTCCAGAAATGATGGTAGTTCTGGAGCTCATTGTGAAGCTGACATCGGTTTTACCTGAGTTCATTGTAAGACTGGGATTTGACACTGCACTGCATTTTGGAGAACCCCCAGTCAAGAATACTTTTCTCTTTCGTAAAATATTCCCAGGCAACATTCCATCCAAATGTATGGTTTTTATCTATTGTTTTCTTCCCAGTCTAGTACTAAACCATGGAGCGCTTTCTATATGGCAGAGCCTGGCCCCTCCTTACACACCCATATGTACCCATCCAGTCCTCCTCAACACTGGACTTAGCCTCAGTGAACACCAAGTACTCTAGATAGGCCAGCAGAAGGTAGACATGGTTTTGTACTTCTATACTGTGTAGGTTGAAATATAGGTAGGCTGTCAGGCCTTCAGGCCAGTAAAGTGCTAGATGTCTAGCTGTGTATTGACTTAGGCAGGGATCTATAATGGAGGAGATAGTACTAAAATGAGGCAGAGAGACAGAGAGGACAGAATGGAGAGCAACAGAGTCAGAGGTCTCATATCTACCTTATTAGTATGTGCAGGATTCAAAAAGGATAGCTTAATATTCATTTGAAATGAGCCCTGCAAGTTCACATCCTAGGACACCGTATGGTCACTGCTGGGTGAGGTAAGCATTGATGATTGCTGCTTCTACTGTGCCTGTCTTATTTCTAAGTTGAGGGCATTAAGGACGTACTGCTTCTATAATAAATAAAATATTATTTTAAGTTTCATGAGATTATGATATCTCAAAATTTATGGTCTTTCACTATGTCCCATTCAGATGGAAATTTTTAACCTTGAATATATCAAGGGAGAATAAAGGCTAAAAATCTATGATGTAGGCATTTATCTTAAGAAGCTAGAAAACAGCAAATTTAACCCAACAGTTAGAAGGAGAAAAATAATAAAGACAAGAACAGAAAATAATGTAACAGAGAAATCAACAAGTAAGGGCACTGCAGAAAGAAATTGGACAAACTGTGAGATTGGTTAAGGACAGAAAGAGAAAGGAAAAACTACCAACATCAGTAGCCCAGGACACAAGGGCATGTGTGTCCTCAGAAATCAAAAAGCTAACAAAAGACACTTTAAAGTACTCTGCTCAAACACAGTAGGTAATCTGGAGGAAACGAAGACGTCTAAGAAACTGCAATTTAGCAAATGGTCACTTGAAGAAACAAAACTTAACATTTCCTATACATATTTTAAAAATTAAATCATTTTAGAGGCTGGGAATTGAACCCAGAGGGTAGCGTTACTTCTACAGCCCTTTTTGTTTTTAAATTTAGACAAGGTCTTATTAAGTTGCTCAGGCTGGCCCCGAACTTCCAATTTTCCTGCTTCAGCTTCTGAGCAGCTGGGATTATAGGTATACACTACCTTGCCTGGATTTAAAAACTGAATCTTCAATGAAAATTAACAGCACTGCTAGGTGTTATGGCAAATACCCTGTAATCCCAGCTGCTCAGGAAGCTGAAACAGGAGGATTACCATGAGTTCAAGGCCAGCTTGGGCTACACAGCATATCCTGTTTCAACAAAACAAAAAAAATCTCACAAAAGAACATCAGGTTGAAAACTAACATTCATCATATAAAAATATTTCCAGAGAATAGAAAAAACATTGACCAGTTACAGCTTGCCCTTCCTTCTAAAGACTGAAGAAGACATTACAAGGAAGAGATGCCTCTCAAACACTGCTACAAAAACTTCAAAATAGCAATAAATAGATTCCAATGATACAAAGTATTTGGCTGATTTTGATACCAACATAAGATAAAATCTCATAACCAACTAGAAGCAGAAAGGAAAACTCTACATCTAATGTAGCGATCCTGCATAAGCCCAAGGTTATTATCATGCACACCAGTGAGAACTGAAGACTCCCAACTGCAAAGGACAATGGTACTGTGGCCATCATTGTGGTCAGCTCTGTCCTATGGCTGAGCAGTGGCAAATGTTGCAAGAGGTTGGGTGTGGTGGTGTATGCCTGTCATACAAGCACCCTGGAAGACTGAGGCAGGAGGATCACAAGTTTGAGCCCAGCCTGGGCAACTTAGCTGACTAAGTGAGATTCTGTGTGAAATAAAAAGAATTGGGGACATAGCTCAATGCAAATGTCCTTGTTTCAATTCCTTCTACCACAAAATGAAACAAAATAAAACAAAACACAAGAGCTGAGAGAGATACTGTGTGAGAATCAGCCATAGATAACATTGCTGGACCACAGAAAATCCAAAGGAATCACAGCAACCTCCCCAGTAACGGCCAGAGGTATAAGTATGTGCAATGGTGGCACTGCCAACAATAGAAGAAAGTGCT